GCCTGCTCCGCGGCTCCCCCGCGACCGCCTCGCCGCTTTCTTTTTGTTTGCTGTTTTGGTTTCCCTTTTTCTTTCTTTCTGTCTTTCTTTCATTATTATTCTTTTATTACTCTTTTTATCTTTTATTTATTTATTTATTGGGTTCCAGTGCAGCCCAGCACCCGAGCCCTCGGAAACGCCTTCCCTCACGCACTCTCAGAGCAACACGGGCGGAGGTCGTGGGGGGGGAAAACCATAATCCCGGAATTTCCCTGCATTTCCCCTGCCTTAAAGTAAGCTCGAGGTGGAAGGAGCCAGTTTCTACCGCGGTGGCTGAGGTCGGTCTCCACGGGCAGGTAATTTTGGAGCACACTGCGCTTCCCAGCGCTGACACTGAAACCTGGAGCAAGGTCTTGTTGGGCATCTCCGATTGCAGCCTTGAATTGTTCCGGGTGGAAAGGTCTTTCCCATGCCAAAGGTTTTGGGATTCAGAATAAAGAAAAAAGTCTTTTTTTTTCCTAGTAGAACCATCGTTTTTAGGTCCAGAGACTTGTGTGGGAAATAGCACAACCTCCTATTCTCACAAACCAGACAAAGGTTCAAGAAAGGTTCAAACCTTGGATCAAGGACATCTTTTAGCCACTTGGGCTAGTTGTGAACACCCTTAGCCACCAGATAGCTCCTCATTTGTTGCATCATTTAAATAACATTAAGGTCATTTAAGTCCCACCCAGCAGGTCCCAGCAACCCAAAGCAAGGGCAAGAGTGAGTTAAAAGCATGGACACAAAGAGTCAAAGACTAAGGTGGTCTCCAAACCACCTTGCACCAGAGCTACCTCCTTGTCAACATGTGGAGACCCCAAGCCTGATGCCTACAGGAAATCCTTGTAGGACGAGAGGTCCCTGCAGGGATGCAGACATGTCTGACCTTGTGTGACCAGGCCGAGGGCCAAAGCCAGCAGCGCAGCCCCCTCCTCGGGGCTGCTCAGCACCAGGCACTGCTCCTTCACGGCATGGGGACTGCATCCAAAGGGGCAGCTGGGCCCCCCGTGCCCAAGAGCAACAGTGGCCGTTAAGAAATCACAAGATAATAGCGCTTTTGAGGAATACTCGTCTTGTGCTTGCGGGATGGAGCGACGGTGGCTGGGCTGCGCAGGGGGAGGAAGGGGGGCGCGGGGACATATGACAGCGCGGGCAACAAGTGGGCTTTGTACGCCGGGGCTGGGGACGCCCACAGCTGCTCTGGCCTCCTCTCCCCTTGGGTGGGAGAAAGGGCTACAAAAGCGCAAGCAGAAGAGCATTGCACAGAAGGGGCTTTGCCCAAATGCAGAAAGTGAAGTGGCATCATCCCATCTCTTCCTTATAGCTGCTCCAAGGAGGACACGCCAGCCCGGAGCGGTGGCCAGGCTGCTACAGTGCCTCCTGGATACGTGACACGCTCGAGCTAACATCCGAAGACCTAAAGCCTGATGCCTACAGGAGGTCCCTGCAGGGACAGGGACGGGGACCTGTCTACCCTGGGCTGGTGGGGCTTGCATTTCCCTTCCTGCATCGTCCATCCAGCCCTGCCCATGGTGGCCCTGGTGGTAGCGGTGGAGCCCGCTGGCGCCAGGAATGCACATCCCATGGGGAGCAGGTCCCAATGAGCAGCACAAGCAAGGCAATACCCAGTGGGTGCAGGAGCAAGATGTCTATGGCCACACTTCCCCGGCCAGGGCCTATGTCTTCTTCTCGTGCCACACGATCCTCACAGATGGCAGAGCAGGCGGTGTCAGTGGGATTGCTAAAAGAAGACCCCCAAAACAGCAACAAAGAAAGGCAGTGAGAAGGAATAAGACCCACCCATCCTTGCCCCAACATCGCCTTGCTGCCCGGACCCTCAGCTGCCCAGGAGCTGGCAGAGGGACGGGCCCGCAGCCGCGTAGCCGCGTGCAGGTGCAGAGCACTGGAGGGCAAACAAAGGGAGATTGCAGGGGCCGATAGGGGCCACGGCGCTCACTCTCAGTGTGGCTCTCCGCCAGCAAGTCCAAAGGCCAGGGCAGCTGGGGAGCCGTGTTTCTCACCAGCACCAGCAACGGGCAACGCAGCAGCCTCCGGGCGCTTCTTGCAGAATGTCTTTGCAAAGCGCAGCACGCTGGATGCTCCGAGCGGAGCCTCCAAAAGATGCGGCCCGGAGGCATCTGGAAAGGCCGCAAGCACAGGAGCCGCAGGCAGGAGGCACAGCAGGACCCACTGTTTCTTGCAGCTCCCCAGCGGGACCAGCTTCTCCGTTGCCTTCCCTTGCTGCTTGCAGGCACCGGGGAAGGTTTGCTCCTTGCACTCCTTCCAGCAGAGCGTGGGAAAAGCTCTCACCCAAAGTGAAAAGAAAAAAAAAACACACACAGGAATTTGCTTTCAAGTCTATTCTCCTCTCTCTTTCTCTTCAAGTGAAAAGCCTGGAGCTGGCTTTTTTTTTCTCTGCAAGGAAAGTGTTTCTGGCCGAGGCAAAGCGGCGCTTTTCTCTGGTGGTGCAAGCGGGGTGACAGGCAGCAATGCAAGATGAAGGGCATGGCTGTGGCCAGCAAGCTGGGGCAGGGAGGGTGGTAGTAGGGTAGACATGGCCTCCCCTCTGGAACCGCATGCTTGAGGTTCAGGAGAAGGAAATTTGGGCTCATACTGAGAGTGTTTGGGTCGAAATGCGGAGCCATTGGCTTGGTGCTTGGCATCCAAAGAGAGGAAGATCATGGTGCCCCCAGCACCATAGGGGCATCTAGAGCAAAGAGGTAGCAGGGATGGAGCAGGGTGTCTAGATGGGAGCCTTATGCCAGGTCTGGCCACTCTCGTCCCCGCCACCACCTCCAAGGAGCTGTCAGGGGGGCGCTTCCCACCCCACCAGTGCAGACCCTTGGCTCCTGTCCTGGTGGCATCCAGGAGGCACCTGGTGAGTCTGACGGGAGAGTGATGGCTCCGGACAGCCCCTTCCAAGCAAAGCTTGGGTGATGCAATGGACTTTCCAGGCAAAAGAAGAGGCTGAATCATGCATCCCCA